GATTAAGGGTCACCATTTAATCCTCACTATCCTAATCCCTAAAATTACAAAGACAGGCATAAGTGCATGTCTGCTGCACTAAATTACCTTGAAAGAAAGCAAATTCCGGATGAAAAGGGAAGCATATTTATATTATGGTGATTTAAAATCTGTCGCCTAAACACATCTTCTCCTCTCGATCCATTGACCTAAATTGCACACTAAAAGCTTGTTTGTCTGCAAATGGGCAGCTAACACTTTGAGACAGTCCAGAGATTCTTCACTTATGCAGAATCATGCCAACAATTTTTCTGACTACAATAAACACTGTCTTGTTCATATTCCACAGAAACAGAAATTGTGTTATACAACAGAAGGCTTTCTTTACAGTTTTAAAACCATTTCCTGGATAGTTAATTACGAAAATTCACAACTCTGGATATAAGAAGTTGTGGATGCAAAAATATTTATAAAGATATTTCACTAAAATACTACCTGATCAAACAAAATATTGCTAATTTTGTTGAATTCTAATTCTTTTCTTGTGTGTGTGAAAACAGAAAAGATGAGCTTTTTTCCATGGTTGGAAAATGCTTTATAGACAAGGATTAACTTCCTGGATATTCTTTAACACTTTCTGAAATCTGAAATCCAGTGCGATGAATTTTCAAGGCAAAATAAACTCAACTCACCGATTAATCTAGTGGCTCAAAAATCTACAAAATTCTTATTTTCTTTTGGAAAATACATTAATATCAATGTGCTTGTGTACAACAAAAACAGCATAATGGCATGGCAGAATAGTATACTCTTGGAAAAGATCAAATTTCTTCCTAGGTCCTGCTGATTTTGTCAGGTATACATTTACTTTATAAGGCAATTTTCTGAAATCACATTATATCTATCAATCAGATCATAACACTGGAATAGACTTGGTTTCTCTATAAATCTGTTGTATCATCAATAGAGTATCATGTGTCTTCCTTTAAAATATGCTTCAAACAATTTTGTGTATCTCTAAAGAATGGGATCCCCACTGTTTAAATCTATGCCATTTGTGTGCATATGTAACAATTTGTATAAATTCAGGAAATATTCTTATTACATGTTATAGTGTACTGAAGACTAAAATATGTCTGTGTTCTTGAATACATTTCAAAAACTACACAGTGTGATGTTAAATTAGGATGATGCTATCTTTAATACTGTAAACATATATTCAAGAATATTTCAAAGCACATTGAAAATGTTTTATTGCAAATCCTCATTTTATGTAGATGTAAAAACTACAATGAAGAGGTCTAATCATCTTAAAAGGGAGAGTACACTGCAAACGATCCAGTGATACTCAGCATTTCAGGGCCAAACCCCTGCTGTTTAGCCACAGTAGTTACAAAAGCAGACTAATGAAAGCTGCAAAAATTATAATTAATTTTCATTCCAAAGAAATTATTCTGCTCTAATCAACTGCCTATCAAATGTCAGTGCAAATTATGCTAAAGAAAAAAAAATATTAGGCCAGGTTTACAGAGGAAAATTTTCCTTATACTGTATTAGAATAAAGAATGCCTGTGTGGGAATTACTTTTAATGAACAACAAATTACAATTACTAAACTAAATGAACCATCTGCCTTTTTTTGTTTGTTTTCACGGCCTCACTGGTGCAGAATGCATTGTCAGCTTAATTCCCATTCAAAATGGCAGAGTGCCTCATCGCCAGGCTCTCACGTCCATAACATTTTAACAGAAAATCTGTAACAGATGTTTTCAATTTTAGGAAGAGGACAAGTATGTTTTATAAATATGTTCTAAACATTAAAGGCTGGCGTTTATAATAATAAGGTACATGCCTTTTTCAGACTGGAGCACTGGGATAACTAAGTACTCCTAAGCCCTAAATTAGCACATAAAGTATTCATAGAGCAATACCAATAAAAACAAGTCCTGATGTACTTTATTAAACATTTCATTCAAGTAAATGTGTTTTGTCTCTATCCTCTAATAGGTGATCATTTGTTTCAAAGGGCGTGCATGAGGACATTCAATGAGGACATCTATTATCAAATCTTTATAGAAAGGTTTAAAGTGGTTAGCTGGATACATCATCTGGCATTGGCATAAAACATTAAAAATGGAAAATCAGTCTCTTATTAGCATGTGTCTCATATTAGCTGGGCTTTCCATGCTGAGGTTTGGGGACCATGATACTATAAAACACTTGGAAGATTGACTTTTATCAGGGCCATTTATGGAAGAGAAAATCCGATATGGGCATGATCTTTAAAAGAAGGAATTGCGTATGAATAATATCTTAATACAATACAAAAGAAATCTTTACTAAAGTAAATGAATATGTTTTCTTCATACTGCTATTTTAGGCATTTACAAGTAGCACTGACTCAAAACTGCAAGGAGGGAATGCTTTAAAATAGTTCTTTAACATCTGTTATTAAATTTTTTTTCTTCCTTTAAATGAAAGGTATTATCTTGACAGCCCCCGGGTCTCTGGGTCTCCATTGATCCACTGTGCATGCACAGCACAGACAGGAGAGGTACGATCCTCTCACTGCCACCAGTATGCCTGAGCACAGACGTGGGGTATCAGGTCTAAGAGAGACAGGAGAACAGCCAGGCTTTCATGTTTACCCAGTCCTTAGTTTCTCCGCTGAGATGACCAAAACAGAAAAACAAATAAACAAACAAAACCTATTGACAAAACTGATAGTTTATTTTCAAAGGGCAAAATGGACTGGTCCTCTATCTTTTCATGCTTTTACGAACATTGTTTCACTTTCATTTTAATTTAGAGCTTTGTACAATCCCATTCCCCTAACCCCCACTCCTGGACAATCATTGGAAATCCAGATACCTTTCTGCAATTAAAAAACAAAAGAAAATTGTATTAGATTATTTCATGAGCTAGACACAGACAGGGATATATGATTCCAGGCCTCTCCACAGGCTGGATGAATCTCTGTCTAAATAGTCTTTGCTTTGAGTGGATATTTAACTCTCATCTGCAGTGGGAAGTAAAATGTGCTTTTTTGGAAAAGCAGCTTGCATGCCAGGGTCCACTCAGTGTAATGGTGTCTGCTTTGAAGATTATTTTAATCTCCCCCCCACCCTTGTTCTGAAAGGAAAGACTGAAAAAAAAAAAAATGACAGCTCCATTATTAGAAATGCAGCTTCAGAAAAAAAACTAATGGAGAATCCTTCGAAGGTATACTATTGAGGGAAAACCACAGTTTCTAAAAGCCCTTCCTTATTTTTGCATTTTTATTTTATGGTAGGCAGTCATGCTTTCAAAACATTGTGTTTCATATTTGCTTTTTATTTTGCATTTGGATCAATGGAAACAAACTAAGGCATTTTTCCCTGTGCTTTATTTTCTTAATTTTACCCTACAGTTATGGCTGAGTTAGAGGCCAACTGTAGCCTCTGCTTTTGAAGAATTCCAAGAGAATATTTAATTTTAGGTAAAAATTACTTTCTGTAAATAAAGTATATATAATAATGATGTCGCTTATTATTAATTTTAGCTACATTTTAAGTTCATAAAATATTGTGAATATTAATAATTTAACAACTATACTCCTTTGACGTATATATGACCTTAGATTTCCCATAAAACAGACTGCCCTTCTAAAAGGTCAAACAATTTTGAAACATAGTTACTTTTACCTGAATGCACCTTTATTAACCTACTAATACTGATGGCATACATAATTATAAAATGTGAAGAAATTCAAATCATGATAAAATATTCCTTTGTGAAAAATATTGTGTCTGAGAATTTATTAGAAATCACCATATATTTTTCTCCTTACAAAAATGTGGTCATGGTCAGGCACGGTGCCTCATGTCTGTAATCCCAGCACTTTGGGAGGCTGAGGCCGGAAGATCACCTGAGGTCAGGAGTTCAAGATCAGCCTGGCTAACATGGTGAAATCCTGTCCCTACTAAAAATACAAACGTTAGCAGAGTGTGGTGGTGCACACCTGTAGTCCCAGTTACTCAGGAGGCCGAGGCAGGAGAATCGCTTGAACCCAGGAGGCAGAGGCTGCAGTGAGCCGAGGTCACCTACTTCACTTCAGCCAGGGTGACAGAGTGACACTCTGCCTCAAAAAAAAAAAAAAAATTATAAATGTGGCACCAGCAACGGTAACATAAAGTAAAAATTAATTCTCATATCCCACTATAAAAATGCTAGCTAAAATTAGTAAGTCCAGTTTGGTCAGTATTCATTCCTTTGATTCCAAAATATATATTGACATTAATTTTGTTAAATATTGATAGAATGTTGTTCTACTTTACTGATACTGAAAATGTGAAACAATGGACTTATTTACTTTTGAAACTTGAGATTCTTTTATTTCTATTTGTAATAAAATTTTTGCTCATGTTCACAAACCGAGTAGGAAAGAAGTGGAGCAGCTCTCCTGTTCACTCAAGCCCATGTACTCACTGGCCATGTACTGCTAATAGCTGCATCACATCAGTCTCTCACTGCTAAGAAGATAAATACCTTCAGTTATACTGACTCTCAACTATAACCTGGAAAGGAAACAACCAATTCTTTCTTGATTCAGGCAACGGGCTTCTCTCCCTTCTCCCCATCTCCAAACTTGACATTCACCTATCCAAATCCCGCTAGGATCAAGCCAAACTCTTCCTGTTTTGACCTACTAACTGTACTCTCTTTTAGCTGTAAAAGAGCTTACCGCTATGTAACTCTTTGTGACCACTCTCTAGACAGTGGCCTTACAGGTACAGGGTCAGAATCTTATGAGAAGTCTGGACACAGTCTTCATAGAGAAAATGTATGCTTTTGCATATACTCAAGACAGTCTCCTTCCACACCTTTCTAGATGTTTTATAAATATATATATTTTTGTTAATTGTTTATTTATCAAGAGAAACTATTTCTTAGCCCACATATTCATGTGACATAGTTCAAGAACCCAAGTCAGTGACAAACTTCTAGGTAATTCAACCTGAAGAAATTCTTTCTATTCCAAGATCACTTTATACTATGAAAGATACCCGCCTTCTTCGTCTCCTCAAAATCTTTCTCAGGATCGTAATTTCTGTAGAAATCTGCATATGCCTTCTTTCTTGGTTCAGCCATACCAAGCTTACAGAGAGCTGCAACCCCCAGGGATACCAAGAATGCTCCAACCATATGAATTCGCAGACACCTGGCCAGAAGGCCACGCATCTGAGGTTTTGCCAAAACTTCGGAAGCCATGGTAGTTACTGCCCTTGATACGTATGCCAACCTCAACACCAATGTCCTTCCAGAGTGATAGAAAAATGGACGGGTGCATGGGTCCCAGATGAGTAGCGTCAGCCTTTGGAGAAGCTTATCAGTAAAGAATGATTATTAGAGCACAGTGCCCAGGAGAGAAGCCAGGGTTCACATCCCAGTTCCTCAAGTATCTGCATGACCCTGGGAAAGACACCTGACCTTGCTATACTCCATTTCCTAATCTGTACAATTGCATGTACTACAGTGGGCTGTTGTGAGGACCCAAAGAGACAATGGACATAAAACATTCCTTGCTACATAGAACTTTAGCTAAGATGTAGCAGTACAAAATGTAGCAGATTTAGAGATGTTATATTAGTTCTTTGTGTGTATCTCTTATCCCCAAGTCAAGGACCACGTGCTAATTAAGTTTGCACACCCCAGGGCACCTTAAAAGTAGTTTTATTTATATTTATTTATTTTTTTCTATTTATTCGATTCTATTTACTTACGATTTTATTCTACTTATTCTATTTCTAGTTGTTTTTGTTATTTATTTATTATTTGTCACCCAGGCTGGAGTGCAATGGTGCAATCTCAGCTCACTGCAACCTCTGTCTCCCAGGTTCAAATGATTCTCACACCTCAGCCTCCCCAGTAGCTGAGATTACATGTGCCTGCCACCACACCCAGCTAATTTTTATATTTTTAGCAGAGGTGGGGTTTCATTGTGCTGGCCAGGCTGGTCTTGAACTCCTGACCTCAAGTGATCCACCTGCCTTGGCTTCCCGAAGTGCTAGGATTAAAAGTGTGAGCCACCATGCTCAACCTGTAAGTAGTTTTAAAAGTATACTGTTGAAGAAAAACTCTTAATAAAGACATGAATTTTTTAACAGCACATTATATGAACCAACTTTGCAGAATGAATACATTTTCTTTAGAGTTTAAAACTCTTCAGTCATTATCTCTTTGTTCATGTGGTCACAAAGTATTCCATCGACCACAACTAAACCGGTTCCTTCTTTTTAAAAATAATACAGATGGTCTTCTTTAGGGGATGGTTTTAATATTGCCTGTCTGCCAGGAAGGAGACTCCTCAAGGTCTCCTTTGTCCTTATGATTCCAAGATGAATTACTTTTTCCAGAATCTTCTAATTCAGTTGTTCCAGAGGTAAATTAATTTTTATTAACAAATAGAAACACAAACAAACACCGAGTTCTCCTTTGTTGCTTTGAAAATTGTTTTCTCCCAGTTACACGGAAGGATCTCCAGTTCTTTCTGACACACAGTACAAAGATTCACGTGGCCTAACTTCACGTCCCTTTATTATTTCATAGACTTCAGCAAATTCTGCTCCTATTCTTCTCCTTTTGAGATTTATTAATACCAGCTTTTAGTAATCTGTAAACCCATACAGGCTGGCTGCAAACATTCCTGTTACCCTGGTCTGGAGCTTTTCAATCTGTTATATGTCTTTTGGGGTGAAAGGTTCACATCTATGATATTTCTGTTTTGTTCATGCTGATGCAATAGAATTTTATAACATACAACAAAGGGCTAGAATCTCAGCACCAGCATATGTAAAATTATGTCAGGAGAAAAGGGCAAATCCCAGGACCACTGTAAGAGGGAGAGTCTGAGAGGCCCCATTCTCAAGCCATGTATCCCATGGGAGTACTTTTCCAATTAATTGGAATAATATGTCACCTAAATTGAACAACAGAAATCATCTTTGCTCTCTAAAACCATGAAAATTAGATATTTTGTATAAAAAGTAAGATAAAAGAGGCTTGTTAATTAACAATTTAGCAGAATAATTTCACATCACAGCTCCCCACTTCACAAGCTCCTCTTCATTCCCAAACAAATAAAAGCAAAATATTATTTGAGCAGGACCATTGTTGCAGCCTTAATCCCATCAATTTACTCACAGATTTATTTAAGTTCTTACAAACAACGAAGCTTCCAAGCAGAAGGTGTACACTATATTTCTTCTCTTGTCTTGTTGATGCTGGCTATCATTACAATCATAGTAAATCAGTAGGGTGGGGAATGTGGCAATGAACAGAAAATGCTTCCAAAATGTCTGCAATAATTATCTTTTTATTGTGATTGTATGTGTCCTACTAAAAGATTTTTAATTAAACAAATTCTTGTCAATCAAACCCTTTAAGAACCACTAACAAGAACAATTTCGGAAAGAAGGTTGATGTACCAATGCTACTAGCATTAAATTATATTTGACCTTGAAGTATTAACGTAGGCAATGAGGTCATATTCATCATCATGAGATTATTTGGAGGTCAAGTCTCTCAAATAAAACTTACATTTTCCTAAAACCTATGAACATGTTGGGAAATCTTCTGATCATCAGAACCAAAATCACTTATTTCAATAATTAATAGAACTAGTTGTGAAGATGAATATTTAAAGAGTCAACACAAAAAGACCTTGATGATTCAGGGTAATCACTTCCCTAACGATTGGGGGTTGCTCTCCTAGACTGTGTTAGATGTCACTAATAACCTATTTCAAACCTGTGACTTTGCAAGGACCTCATTTTGATGGCCTAATAGTGTCAGGCACAGATTTCAATGTTTAAATTATTAAAAACCATGATAAAGGCCTGGTTCTTCCACCTGCATTGAGAGGGTGTATGCTCTTCCTTTCATCTCTTGATTAACATGGGGCAGACTTTCCAATTTGTGGATTACCTATACCTTTTACTAGTTCTTTTTCACTCACTGATTTCCTGCCTCTTGGCTATTTCTTAGTTCATTTTCATATCCCCCAGAGGGGAAAGAGAAAATTAAACTCAAACCTATGGAATTTGCTCTAATGAAAGGAAAAGGAAGCGATTGGAAACCAGTGGCTAAAATGAGGTTTGGGGATTTTCATATTGCCTTGGTTCCAGTTAACCTAGAATATCAAGGGCCTACTTTGTATGAAGTCATTTATCCTCCACCTCCACAACATGATTTACCCGTGACCAGGATGGGAAAGCTATTACACAAACCAGAACTTTCATAAAGTTTCTTCAATAAAATTATATTTAAGATGATAATATAAATCTTGAGACAGATATATATATTTAAGATGCAAAATTTCACAGAAACAACTTGGACCACACACACATCTTTTCTGACTTCAAAATTATTTTTATGTATTGGCATATATATATGTGTGTGTGTGTATATATATATATATATATATATATATATATATATATATATAAACTATAACTGCTTAGAATGTAATAAGTTTCTGCTTATTTGTTGCTTTTACTGATAGAGTATTCCAGCTCAAGTTCTCCAAAGGGTTAATGCTGCTGAGTGAGATGAAATTCATGAGCATAATCCTAAACAAGTGAGGTGAAGTTCTATCAGGTCTATTTCAGCTATCAGGGATTACTGCTAGCTGTCTAATCCTGCTGAGCCTCAGGGAGGAACGTTCTATTGTATTTGAAATCCTGGCCAGGAAAGAACAGAAGGTTAAATGGGTGCCTTGCTCTGTAATCAAATATCACAGGCACTACTTATCTATTCAATGAACAACTGACGTAGAAAATCAATTAGGAACCAAATAGCTTCTTAGGAATTTCTACCCAGAAAGAGGCAAGATTTTTTTTTTTTTTATGAATTTCTTTGGTATATTTTATGATAGAATACTATGAATTGTGAAGTTCCAAAAGTTGTTTCAGCTAGTTTCTGAAATACGTATTCCTGCAGGCTTTAGAGCTTCTGTACTATTTGCTTGCCACACTCCAGGACAGTGACTGAGTCATTTACCTAAGAAAAGGAGCAGCCAGACAAAATCAATCCACATGAAATACTGTTAAATCTGGATAAAAGTTTTGAGCAATAATGCAAATCTGTATTATTATGTTTTTATTGAGATGACAAATAATTTACCTCTTCTTAAATGCATTCCTTCGACAGAGCATCATCATCTTCTATGAAAATATGAACGGTGAAAAGGACAGGGGGTAAAGAAAAAGGTGGCTGCAGCCCCAAGAGCTCTTTGTTTTCAGCAGTAAGAGGCTCCTTTTGGTGATCTGAAGGTTAACACCCTTGTCTCACTACCCTCATCCCCTACCTGTCACTCTGAGTAGATGTCACAGTTCATGCACACAGACAAACAGGCTGACCTGGCCAGTCAGCTTGACCTTGGACAGGCCTAAGATCAAACATGGTTATTAATATCGGGGACAGTCAAAATGTAATCTTCCAGACACTAGAGAAGTGAGCTAGAAATTATGCACTTCCTGTCAATCAGAAGCATCATGACACTAAGCATTAAAATGTTCATCTGGACCCGCGCAGGAATTAAGATAAACTTCTTTTTTTCTGTTCTTTGAATCCTGTTGAGTGAAATTTGCTCAGGGCCTTTATAGGCTCAACCTATCTGTCCTTACACTTTCAAATTATTTTTGGACTCTGCTTTATGAGAGTTTTTTTATAAGGTAATCTATTTGCAGGCTAAAGCAGATATAATTGGAAAAATATTGCCCTTTCATAGTCAAGGAAGATATTTTACAAATGGGATGGAATACTTTTAATACTCTCATTGTAGTTCAATGTGCATATAATTTTAACAATGGGCTCTCATTCTCTATAATTGCTATTCCTTACTTCTTGTAGAATATATCCATAATATGGGCTAAAAAAGGGAAATATAAAAAAATCACTTAAATGCCCTGGCAAATACAAAATGTGTAACAGTAATAAATGTATTACTATCTCAAACTGCTACTGAAATGAAAACAGATATTTAATCTAATATTCCTTCCATAATTTATAACATCATTTCCACATTCCTCTTGATAAGATGGTTATGCGTCCATTATGATTTGGCCAAAATCTCTGACAAAAGAATATCAAATATTTCCAATAAAAAATGTAGTTTGAAAATCATCATTAACTTTCTCCTTAAGGACAGATCCAAAACAATACAAACGAAGGAAACAAACATATTCAGTTCCTGGGAAGAACCTGCAGTC